GGCCATTCTGATGGGTATAAGATGAAATCTCAAAGAAGTTTTGATTTATATTTCTCTGATGACTAAGGATGATACATACTTGAAAAAAAAAAACAAAAACAGTCAGAGGGAAAGAAGAATCTATAAAGTAAAAATCTATAAAAACCTACAAAGAACTGATGAATCTATTTTATATATAAAAAGAATTTATGAAGGGATTAGTAGCTATTTTTAGTCCTAAACAAAACGGTTCTGAATACAATTAAATAGTGACATCCAACACCAGGGAAAACAAACATCAAGTCAGCACACTTTCCTAACAGAGTAGGATTAACAAATGCAGGTGACTAAAGACATTTTCAGACCAAGATGAGGACACCCTCTGAAGTAAGTGCTTCGGCAAGTGTGCAGTGGTGCATCCCTTGGGCAAGTGTGCAGGGGTGCATCCGTGACAGCAGCTGGACTGACGGTTTGCACAAGCATTCACTTCCCAACATTGTGATTTGCGAGGCACTTTGAAAATGAAGTAGAGTATCATGCAATCACACACAGAGACGTCACAGGACTAAGTGATCGTCTGCACGGCTGCTGTTTGGAAGAACGCAAATGAGAAAGAGCCATAGCACTCGTCTGCAAGGGAATTTATTTGAGCTGTGGTACAAAGTGAACATAGTTCTGTAGGAGGCCGATTTTTTTCCACCATTAACAACTGTAGAACCTCAGCGCATCGTAGCAATGAACATGGATTGCTCAATAACCTCATCTCAGGGAAGGAGCCAGTGAATAAGCAGGGACATGAAACATGATTTCACAATTGCGTAGTAAAACAGGCGCAGTGGAGAATGGGAAAAGACTTCTACCATTTGTACAAAGACAAATCAAGACCAAAGGATTCATCACCTAATTGCTGTATATCCATCCTTGAGGCTGGTGAAGATGGCTCCATTCATTCATGGGCTGGGGATAAGGGTAAAGATATTTTGCTGTATGCCTTCCATATCCTTTGAGTTGTGTGTCATTTGAATAAATTGCATAAGATAAACATTAAAACAAGGTACGTGTTGTTTAGGTGGAGGCTAGAGATACTAACTTTGCAGTGATTATGCAAGAATAGATGTTAAGATTTAAAGAGGTTTTAGGCTGATAACCCAATCTGGAGAGTGTTTGCCTTGCAAACATAAAGACCTGAGTTTGATTCTTCAAAACCCATATAAAAAACTGGCCAGTGCTTGTAACCCCAGCTAAGGATGTGTGGGCAGAAACAGGCAGACCCCTCAAGGGCTCATCATCCCAGCTTACCAGATAAACTCCAGGCCAATAAGAGACTCTTGTCTCAAAAACAAGGTGGAATACACCTGAAGATTGACAGCTGAGATTATCCTCTATACATGTACACACATGCATGCATGCAGGTAATCCTGCACAAACACTCACAGAGACAAAAGACTTAACAAGCATGTACTAAAGAATTGAACTTCCATATGCAATTAAAATGGTTCAGGACACTAGGATGGATTAAAAAAACATTCTCTTGAGCATCTGTCTATATAGGTATATACATTTTATAATTACATTTGGGGTGCGGTATGTCCCCTGCAGGTTTATGTGTTTGAATACCTGATTCCAAGCTGATGGCACTGTTTTGGGAGTCTGTGGAGCCTTTGCTACATATGGCCTGAGGGGTTTGCTAGAAGGAGGCCACCTTCAAGGGTGATAGCCCAGCCCCGAATCTGGCCCAGCTCTCTCCCTTTGCTGATCTGACAGCATGTGATCTACAACCACAAGTTTCATGTGTTGCCCCAACTGCCAAGTCCTCCCCACCATGATGGACCAGGCCCTCTGTGAGCCAAAACAAACCACTCCTCCCTTAAGTGGCTTAACTAATATGAAAAGCTTAATATTAGTAGGCTTAATAGTAATATTAATAGGCTTAACCTATTAAAAAACATGTCTATTTTCTTTTGTATGAACTATATTTCTATATAATTAGCTCCCTTTTCTATTGTACTGTTAATTTTTATGTATTTTTATTTTATGCATATGGATGTATTTCCTGGATGTATATCTGCATACCATGTGCGTGCCTGGTTGTTCACAGAGCCCAGAAGAGGGCATCAGAGCCCCTGGAATTAGTTGTAAATTGCTATGTGGGTGCTGGGATCAAACTCAGGTCTTCGGGAAGGGCTGTCATTGCCCTTAACCACTGAGCCATCTCTTTATCCCCATATCGTTATTTTTTATCATTATATATAGGAGATCATTTTTACACTAGGGTGGTAAGTGTTTGCCCATGACACAAGTTGCAGATACTTTTCTCTAGTTTGCTGCAGAAGATTTTATAGAAGATAGGCACATTTTTCAATTATTTTTGCTATATGAGACCTTTCCCACTCCAAGACTACATAAGAATTACAATACACTTTCTCCTAGTGCTTCCTGGAGAGCCTGTAGGAATATAATTATCCCAGGCATGTGTTCAGGAATAATAATAATGGCAGATCCATATGCCAGCCAGCAAGCCTAATGTGAGTTCTACAAGAGGCATTGTATTTCCACAGAAAATCTAATTTCCCCTTAATCATTACTTAGTATCCTATATAGTCAGTGCAATGTAAAAATGTCCTTAATGATGATTTTGAAAATTGTATCTCATATCCCACTACAGAGGAGGACACTGGTACACATTGGTAGTGGAGTTACGACTGAAATCCAGAACGTCTGAGTGTAGCAGCCTCAACCTTGGCTTCTACAGCTGTGGTTAGTACAACCTACAACTAGTGTCTATTTTTTTTTCCAGCTTTAGTAAGTGTGTTAGTCAGGGTTCTTAGAGTAACAGAATTTGTAGAAGTCTCAGCTGGTCTGCAGTATACGCTGGAATCCCAGAGCAGTAGGCTCTAGTCCAGTGAAGGAACGGACTTGCTAACAAGGTGAGGGCAAGCAGGCAAAAGAGCAAAAGCTTCCTTCTCCTACGACCTTACCTATACAGGCTTCCATCAGAAGGTGTGGCCCAGATTAGAGGCAGGTCTTCCCACCTCAAAAGATCTGGATTAAAGGTGTGTCTTCCTACCAGATTAGATCCAGATTAGAAGTGGATCTTCTCACTTCAAACTAAGCAAAAATCCCTCACAGGTGCACCCCATTTTTGGTTTTAGTTAATTCCAGATGCAGTCAAGTTGACAACCAAGAATAGCCATCACATTAAGATAATCCACAAATACAATTTCATAAATTTAAATGTCAAAACTTTAAAAGTTGTCCCTGGCATACCTTTAATTCTGTACTAGGATGGCAGAGGTAACTGGATCTCTCTGAGTTCGAGGCTGGCCTGATCTACATAGTGAGTTCCAGGCCAGCCAGAGCTACATAGTGAGAGACGTTGTCTTAAACCATATCTATACCACTCAGAAAACTGTATAATTTCCAATGGGATGATTTGACACATGTAAGTATTACAAAGTGATCATCATAATCATCAAGTTTGTTTGCTATCTATCAAGTTACCTGGTCACCATTCTTGAAATGAGGTGGTAAAATAAATACAAGGTCTATTTTTTTTTAGTAATGTTCAATTTTATAAAAAAAAAAAAAAACAGGGTTATTAAGTGTAGCCTCTATGAAAGTTTATACTCTTGAACATCTTCATAATTCTCCCACTCCCAACCTTTTATATAAGTTTGATACTTTTTCACCCATGTAGTATATATTTTTTTGGTCAGCATCTGCTTGGTATCGCTTAGCATAACGACCACTCTAGGCTCATCTCTGCTCTCACACACGGTAGGATTTCCTTCTTCTCGAAGCTGAGTAGCGCGTCACAGGATTATACCAGTCCATCCCAGTTTCTGTGTCCGCTCACCTGCCTCTGGTGCTTCGGCTGCTTCTCTGTCTTGGTTATCATTTCTTTGCTCTTCTTTGTGGTCCTGGAGATGGAACTCAGGTCCTGAAGCCTGAGCGACAGCTGCTCTTCGGTTGAGTTCCATCCTCCACTCTGCCTTGGCTGTCATGAGCGTGTGCCAGCAAACATGGGGGAGCGAGCTTGGGTGGTGGTGGCGCATGCCTTTCATCCCAGCACTCGGGAGGCAGAGGCAGGTGGGTCTCCGTGAGTTCGAAGCCAGCCTGGGCTACAGAGTGAGCGAGTTCCAGGACAGCCAGGGCTACACAGAGAAACCCTGTCTCTTGAAAAACCCAAAATTCATAAATAAATAAACATGGGGGTGCAGATCCTGATTTTCTTTCTTTCAGCTCTGCATCCAGAGGCAGCATCGCCGGATCACAAGGTCAGTCTGTGTTTAGAGAAATCCCCGTACAGTTTTCTATCATGGCTATGCTAGCTTACGTTCCCACCAGCAATGAGTCAGATTCTCTTCTCTCCTTGCCCTCCCCAATCCTTTCTTTGCTCTTTTATCATCATCATCATCATCATCATCATCATCGTTTGATTTATTTCCATTTTAAAGCATGTGTTTGTGTTGGTCAGGCTTATGGGCAACCTCTGAAGCCTGAGGTGGCAGGTCCCCCGCTGCTGGAGTTACAGGTAGTTGTGAGCCCCCTGATATGGGGGCTGAGATTTGAACTTGGGTCCTTCTGGAAGAGAAATCCACGTTTCTTAACTCCTGTGCCATTTTTCCAGCCCCTTAATATTGTTTTTAACTTTAGGTATGTTTTGTCTGCATATATGTCTGGGTACCACACATATATGCCTGGTGTCTGAGCAGGCCAGAGGGGGCCATTGACGGCCTGGGAGTGCAGTTACAGACAGTTGTGAGATGCTGTGTAGGTACTGGGAATGAAACCTCTGGAGGAGCTGGGAGTGCTCTTAACCACTGAGCCATCTCTCTAGTTCCTCTCTTATCTTTTTTACAATCACTATTCGAACAGGTGCCAGGGATATATTGTGGTTTTGTTTTGCATTTCCCTGATAATTTATGAGTCTGAATATTCTCTCTCTCTCTCTCTCTCTCTCTCTCTCTCTCTCTCTCTCTCTCTCTCTCTCTCTCTCCCCATTTGCATGTCTTTGGAAAAACATCTATTCAGTCAGAATTAAAAACCTGATTTCTTTTATTTTTCCCTTTTAGTTGAGTTATATAAGTCCCTTATATTTTGCCCATTAACCCCTTTATAGATACAAGTTTACTAGGATTAGAAATGCTATTAACTTTTTCAAAGATGACAGTACTGAGAATCAGAGCAGCAACACCTCACCCCATGCCCTGCCCCAAAAGCTGTACCCACCAAGCGAGTGTGCTATGAAACAGTTGACGGATGGCATCTGTCCCTTTGTCTAATGACGGTGATACTTAATGCTGAACATTTACCAAGTGTTTCCACCTACGTCTCTCCTGCCAGCTGCCTTTGTTTCTCTTCCTGTTGCTGTGATGAAGTCCTCTAAAACAAGCAACTGAGAGAAGAAAGGATTCACTCTGGCTCACGGTTTAAGGGTACAATCCATCATGGTGAGGAGGTCAAGGCAGCAAGAACTTGAAGCAGCTGGTCATATTTCATGCACAGTCAGGAACAGAGAGGTGTAAATGCTGCTCAGCTCCCCTTCTCTATTTTACACTCCAGGATCCCAGCCAGGGGAATGGCACCACCTCTAGTGGATCTTCCTCACTTAACTAAGGCAACAAAGTTAATCCTCCAAAAGCAAGCCTACAGGTCCACCTACCAGGTAGTTTAAATTTTATTTATGTATTATTTTGTGGTGATATTTTATTTGTGCTCTAATAAATAAAGCTTGCTTGGGAATCAGAGGAAAAAGCCAGCCACTATATTAAACATAGAAGTCAGGCAGTGGTAGCACATGCCTTTAATCCTAGCTTTCGGGAGGCAGAGATTCATCGGAATCTCTGTGAGTTCAAGGTCACACTGGGAACCGAGTCAGGCACACACCTTCAATCCCAGCAGTAGTTAACCATAGAGGTCTGGCGGTCTGTACAGACAGACAGGGAGTGATAGAGCTGGGAGGAAAGAGGAAGTGATGTAGCTGGGCAGAGAGAGGAAGTAAGATGGCAGGGCACAGAAAGGTATATAGGCATGAGTACACAGGAAGTAGCTCTCTCTTGGGCTGAGGATTTCCTAGCAGTAAGAACTTGTGGCTGGCTTGTTCTGTTTCTCTGATCTTCTCTGATCTCTCAGCTTTCACCCCAATATCTGGCTCCAGGTTTCTTTTCTTTTTTAATTAATAAGACCATTTAGCAATTTGTGTTACATTTGGCATAAGACTCATGCTACATTATTTTTATGTGTTTGGGTGTTTTAGCAGCATGAATGCTTGTGCACCACGTGCCTGAAGAAGAGAGAGCATTGCATCTCTGGACTGGAGTTACAGACAGCTGTGAGCTGCCATGTGGATACTGAGAATCGAACCCCAGGTCCTCTGGAAGAGCAGCCAGTGCTCTTAACTGCTGAGTCAATGCTCCAGTCTTTCCAGATGATTCTAGAGCTCATCAAGTTGACAACGGAGATTAATCATCATATCGTCCTTTTACCCATGAGGTATTATAGATAAATGAAAATAAAAAGGGAAAGTTTACTTACATACATTAGTCTGTGTGGTATTATATTAGTAAGAGATTGGAAGCAACTGGAATGGGTCTTTTATCTATGGAAGGTGAAAGCCGCTACATAACGGGTTGTACAGTGTGCTGCCATTTCTGAGCAAATGCATAGCATTGCAATGCCCTCATCCCTTTGCATATTTTATATTCATTTAGTGTCATATGCCATAGTTTTCATTACTGGGACAACCAAGATTTTTCCCAAATAAGATGTAAATGTTGTCCATGAGTTCAGCAAGCCAGCTTCATCCACAAGGTCAACACATACATACCCATACGTGCATATAGCACACAAACACACACGCACACACTTATGTACAAAAGTGAGACAAACCCATATTTACTTAAATCTCTTGGTGCCTTATCAACAAAAACTGGGGGCACAGCTGTGGGTTTCACAGAGGCCCAACCCTCTGAAGGAAGGGTGACTTCTGGTTCCACCACTCAAGCCTCTGCCAAAGCTTTCTGTTGGATTCTCGGATCTTGTTCATACATTTCTTTTGCTGATCCTCACAACAGCAAACACATCCAGTTTTGTTCTCGGACACTTATGTAATCAGTTGAAAGGCATCTCTAAGAACCTAGGAGGGTATGGGGGCTGGAGAGACGGCTTACGGCAAGGGGGTTCGATTTCCAGCTGACAACATCTCTATCTCCAGTTCCAGGGAGAATCCAATGCCCCCTTCTGGCCTCCACAGGTAATGCACACATGTGGTTCACAGATATACAGGCAGGTAAAACACCCATGCATACAAAAGTGGATAAATCTTAACAACAAAACAAAACAGAACAACAAGAACAAAAAAAAAAAAACCCTAGGGGAGTGGCAAATCATCTTCTTTGAAGAACTGAAACCCAGCAGAGATTTCTAAATACACTCCACCAGAGTAGATGTAAATGACTAAGCCTGTATGACACAGTCCATTGGCTCTTTCTGCTCCTTCTACAGGAAGCCTGCTTCCATCAGCTTACATGCAATAGAAGTCTGTCTATTATATCCACATATAATAGACATATTATATATGTGTCATATAGCACTGGACATGTTGATTCATTCCCGTGTGTGTGTGTGTGTGTGTGTGTGTGTGTGTGTGTGTGTGTGTTATTTGTATGCATGTGTGCAGGTATATGGGTACATGAGTGCCCATAGAAGCTAGAGGTTGATATCAATTTTCTTCCTCAATCACTCTCTATCTTATTTTGGGGGACCAGGTATCTTACTGAACCCAGAGCTCACCAATTTGGATGGACTGGCTGTACACTGAGCGCTCAGATTCTCCTATTTCTACCCACTAACACTGGGATTACAGACACACAGGATCACGCCTGGCTTTTGTGTGGGTGCTGGGGATCTGAACGTAGGTCCTCATACCTGGACAGCAAATGTTTTACCCAGAGCTCTCTGCCCTGCCCATCATCCTTTCTCTTTAACTGAATCCTGTTGCCATTTACCTGGTTATCTTTTTTTTTTTTTAAGTTTATTCATTATTACTGTTGTGTGTTTGCATGAGTGATGTGGGGGTACACAAGCCACAGCGTGCGTGTAGAGGTCAGAGGACAACGTTGTACAGTCAGTTCTCTCCTTCCGCCTTTGTGTGGTTTGGGGGGGAATCAAATTCAGGGTAACAGGCTTGTGGGGCTAGTGCTTTTCCAGACTGAGCCGTCACAATGGCCCAGGCCGTGTGACTATAAAACAACTAGAGATGGTATGAGCCTCTCTCACCCTCCAGCCCCTCACATCCCCATCGAGCATCCTTGCCAGAAAGTCAGATCGGGATTCCCACTCCCGTTTCTCAATCTGACCGTACCGGCTAACAGGAAATATGGAGCACAGAGGAACCAGCTAAACACACCATAAGCAAGCAGCGAGTGGAATCCAAACAGTGGGCTTGAAGCAGAGATTTACAAGAATAAAATGTAAAAAGGATGAAGACTTTCTATACTGAATGAGCTTTAGGAAGCTGCTCACTCAAGTGCGGTGAGTGGACGGTGCCTGAACCCTGATTCATCAGTCAGACAGACAGGAAACCCCACCCTGACTGGGTCATTTTGCTGATATTAGGAAGTGTCTTAGTTTGGGATCCTGTTTCTGTGAAGAGACACCATGACCACGGCAACCCTTATAAAGGAAAACATTTAACTAGGGCTGGCTCACAGTTCAGAGGTTCAGTCCATTATCGTCTTGGCAGGAGACATGGCGACATGCAGGCAGACATGGTGCTGGAGAAGGAGCTGAGAGTTCTACATCTTGATCCTCAGGCAGCAGAAGGAGACTGTGTACCATACTGGGCATAGCTTGAGCATAGGAAACCTCAAAGCCCACCCCCACAGTGACACACTTCCTCCAACAAGGCCACATCTCCTAACAGTGCCACTCCCTATGGCCAGGCATTCAAACACATGAGTCTATGGGGACCATTCCTATTCAAACCACCACAAGAAGTATCAGCATTTCTAGGTGTGACAATGATTTGTGTGTGTGTATGTGTGTGTGTGTGTGTGTGTGTGTGTGTGTGTGTGTGTGTGTGTAAGAGTGCACACGCACAAGTCCTTGTCTGTTACAGACTCACACTGAAGTATTTAGAGGTACAATGACAGGTCTGGGACTTGCTTCCGAAATGTCCTGTGGTAAAATGGGGAACAAGGGAACAGCAGAGGTCACAAGACTGGCCATGAACTGAGGTATGCCTATTGCCAGGGGATGGATGCTGTTATTTTAGCTTTAAATTCTCCGTAGTATAGATCTATAAAGTGCGTTCTTGCAGGAAGAAAGACGGGTGGAGGGGAGACCCAAATCACTGATGGTTCGGGTCAGGGGTCCGTGCCTAGAGTAAGTTGGAAGGGCAGGGCAGCGGGGAGCTGCGTGGGGAAAACTAATGTGTGGCCAGGACATGCTTGTTTCAGTTTGACGTCTAGTGGAAAGTCCATTAAGAAACCGCTGACACCAATATCAGGACTCGGTAGGGGAGTTTGGAAACCCAGAGCATTTATAGCCAGAGGACAGAGAGCAGCCAAGGGTCAGAAAGGGAAATAGAGGAAACCATCGGAGCCCCGAGCCCAGAGACTAACCTCAGCTTGTGGCCACATTTGACTGTTGTTACGTTAAAGCCAGGAATCCATATTAGAGATGCCTCTATGTATCACTTATGCCAAGTAGGGTTTTTTTTTCTAGATTGTTCCTCTTTCCTTGAAGGTGGACAGTGTACAGACAGCGAATTGAAAGACAATCAGGCTTGTCCATCTCTGTAACTTGCAGCCTTCACTTCCCTTGGAAATTGCACAACGCGGTGTTGAAATGGTTTCAACAGCTGGTAGACCTTCACAGCTGGCTTTGCCGTTGGGTGCCCAGCTCCATTCTGCAGCGGGACTTGGCCGGATGCTAAGGAGGCTTCACTGGCCCCACATGAGAGATCCAGGCAGCTTTGCTTCGCTGACTCTGTCCTCCAACCTCTGGACCATGCCTGGACCATGTTGGAGGTCTCTCGTGCCTCCAGTTTGTCTGTTTGATTTTGTTTTTCATCTATGGATTGATATGGACGGTCATCATGCATTGCGTCCATGGAGAAGTCTGTAGACATGATGCCATTTCCAACCTTGATTCTCACCTGCTGTGGTGAGAATACTTTGGGTTGTCAACTTGACTACATCTGTAATCAACTAAAAACCCAAGCATCTGGGCACACTCGTGGCGGAATTTTAGTTAACTGGATCATTTGACGTGGGAAGACCCACCTTCAATCCAGATCACTTGAGGTGGGAAGACCCACCCTAAATCTGGGCCACACCTTCCCATGGCAGCCTGTATAGATGAGGAAGAAAGAATGCTTTCCTCTTTACCTGCTTGCCTTCATTCTCACTGGCAAATAGAGTCATATTCAAAATGGGGTCTTACCTGCAACAAGGGAGTGACCTGAGACCACATAGTAAAATTTCTTCCTCCTCCTCCTCTTCCTTCTCTCTGTCTCTCTCTCTCTCACACACACACACACCAGTGTAATAAAAATTTAAAAACAGCAAACTTATCTTTTGTATTCATAGATTACATTAGGTTCACTCTTGATGTGGTACAGTCTGTGGTTTGGACAAATACATGACATGTGTCTATCATAATAGAATCCAAACAAAAGACTTTCACTGTCCTAAAGCCCTTTCTCTGGCCTGCCTATTCATCCCTCCCCCCTTGACAATGCCTAGCAACCACTGATCTGTACAGTGTGGGTGCTAAGGACTGTACGCTCATTCGTCATAATGCACACACGCTCTAGGGGAAGGTTTTACGTGTGGAGGTAGGTGTACACAGGGGCAAGGAGTCTAGACATGTATGCTCTCCTTAATTTTACTGTGAATGAGAACTGCCCTAAAAGGTACCCCCCCCGCCCTGCCCCCCCCCAAAAAAAAAAACCAATTTCAACACATACTTAGTTATCTTAGTCAGGGTTTCTATTCCTGTAAAGAGACATCATGACCATGGCAACTCTTGTAAGGAAAACATTTATGAGGTTGCTGGATTATATCAGAGGTTCAGTCCATCATCATGGTAGGGAGCATGGCAGTGTGCAGGCAGATATGGTGCTGGAGAAGGAGCTGAGAGTCCTACATCTTGCGGGCAACAGGAAATGGTCTGAAACACTGGGCCATATCTTGAGCAAAAGAGACCTCAAAGCCTGCCCCCACAGTGACACACTTAACACCTCCAACAAGGCCAAACCTACTCCAACAAAGCCACACCTCCTAATAGTGCCACTCCCTTTGGGGGCCATTTTCTTTCAAACCACCCCAACAGTGTCAATGCAAAGTAGCTTGCACCTCAAGTGGGGTAACAGGATCTGATGAGTGACCATGGCTCAGGAACACCATGGTTCATGTTCCACCAATACCATGTTCCAACATGGAACTGGTTACATGAGCTTTCATTCATGACAGGTGAAAGTCATGAGTGTAGGCATTCACCAAATGCACTGGTGGGGACCACAGGACAATCTATGCCATAGGTCTGGGTGCTAGCTGATGATGATGTGCTTAGCTTTGAATTGGTAGAATTTGGGTACCTGCTAAGAAGACATTCAGAAGTGTACCCTGAAAGTCAAAAGGATGTAAGGGCGGGCCACGGCTTGGGAGGCAGAGGCAGGTGGCTCTCTTGGAGAGTTGGAGGGCAGTTTTGTTCACATAGCTTGTTCCAGAACAGCCAGGGCTACACAGTGAGACCCTGTTGCAACCTCCCCACCACTCCACACAAAACAAAAGGATGTGAAGGGCTATTGAACGGACTAAAGGTAAATCAAGATAATTTGGTACTGTATTTATAAAATTCTGACTCTCCACAAACAAGATTCGAATCAGTTATTCAGTCTAGTAGAATTTCCAACATAGGTGGGTTCATTTTCTTCGGAGAATTTAAATTTACAGTGGCTAGGCTGATTTTTTTTTCTTAGCACCTGTACAATATTACTAAAACTTAAAAATCTTAGGTTTAAAAAAAGCCTTATTAGCTCATTTGTTTGTTTATTTTACTTTATAAGTAACTGACAGAAACATAGGTATAAATGTTGTTATAAAGCTATCTTAGACACAACACCCTGGAACTTAGGACCTATATTGTTTTTCTCCCTATTTCAATTATACATAGAAAGAATCACACAGAAGACATGTGTATGCAAATGAAGGCATATTATTTACAATCTACTTTTTGAATTAAAAAAAAATCTTTATTTAAAAAATTCAGATAATGCCCAGACTTAACATTTTCATAGAGATGTTGGTTTGTTGGGTTTGGTCATGTTTTCTTTATTCACTTTTTGGGCCAAAAATATAAAACCCAAGGAAGGTAGAGCTGTTGAAAATATGCAAATACTTGTGGTGATTATCCAAAACACTTGGTCCTCAAGAATGTTGTTTTAAAAATCAAGTTCAGCCTGGCATGGTGGTGCACGTGTTAATTCCAGCACTCTGGAGGCAGAGGCAAGCGGATCTCTGAGCTTTCCAGGCCAGACTGACTCACTACAGAGTGAGCTCCAGGACAGCCAGGGCTGTTACACAGAAAAACCCTGTCTCAAAAACCCAAACCCAAACCCAAAAGATTAAAGTTCAGTTTAATTGAGGTAAATGTAGTCATGGCCAATGCTAGAATGCTTTATTCTGCTCTTGGCTGCAGGTTATACTTTTGTGGCTGGAAAAAATGTTCTTCAATGGCGCCGACTAGCTCATCTAGCTCCTTTTTCAGCTGCTCCAGATCACTGAAAAATATAAGGGGAGGGAGGAGAATTCATATTAATGGATTATTCCAAAGCAAAACAAGTACACGTATTTGATATTTTTTGAGACAGTCTCAGTAGGTAACTATGCATACCAGGCGGGCCTCAAACTCACAGAGACCCAGCTGCTTCTGCCTCCCAAAGGAATGCATTAGCATGCTCAGCCTTGGTTTGGTTTTGAGACAGGCTCTTATTATGTATCCCGGGCTGTCTTTGGAATCACAACAATCCTCCGACCTCAGCCTCCTGAGTGCTGGGATTAGGGATTGCAAGTATGAGCCGCTACTCCCAGCTTCAAAGCAAAATTAAAATCTTAAAACATGTATAAGTGTATTTTAAAGATTTCATTTTTAATTACGTGCAAGTGTACATGTAAACGCAGTTGCCTGTGGAGCTGGAGTTACATGTGGTTGGGAGTTATCCAACCCTGGTGTTAGGAAAAGAATTAGGATCCTCTGAAAGAGTCTCTCTAGCTCCTTCAAACTGCATTTTCAAATGCTCCCTTCATGGACCTCGTGAGACAGAAACTAAACTTGAAGAGGTGGAATTCAGAAAAGAACAGAACTCCATGAACTTTTGCGTGGGAACACATTTGTTGACTTAGGGAGGAAAAAAAGTCCCAGGAGGCAATATGTATTCTTTTCCCTAAAGGTTTTCCAAACCAAGATCTTTACAATAAACAGAATTACTCTTTGCTCTTCTGCTAAGAATTTGAAGAACCACAATTTTAGCCCTGGCATCCCCAGGGATCTCCACTGTCTGTATCTAATAACACAGAGAAAGCAGTCCTGATTTCTTTCCCTCCTGCTTCAATCCCGCTCAACTCTGACCACATCTCTGTGAAGTCCTCAGTCTGCCTGGCAAGCTGTTCCCGATGCTGTTTGTCCTCGGGTCACAGAAGTCAAGTTGTCTTCTCAGGAAGGGCCCAGACAGAAGCCTCTTCATGGAGCAAGAAACATTAACTACACATCTATCTTTCTTTCTTTCTTTCTTTCTTTCTTTCTTTCTTTCTTTCTTTCTTTCTTTCTTTCTTTCTTTCTTTCTTTCTTTCTTTCTTTCTTTCTTTCT